ATTCAAAAGCCACAGCTTGCACTGGGAGGCTGAGAGAAGGTAACATATCCATGTACAGAATCCAAAATCTAGGTCAGATAATGTTCCAGGGTGCCCCTTTTACACATTCTCACATTTTCCCGTGACTGACTGTACTGGTTTTGCAAAACTAACCTATTTCCATAATCTCAAATAAATTAGGCTAAACCCACAGAGAAATCCAACCCCCATACCAACACCAGCAAAGGGGTTCTTCAGAAGGAAATTCAGATAGGACATAAAAGGCTTGTACTGCCATGCTCCACCTGTCCTATGGCTAAGCTGAGGCCTTCAGTAAATCCAGGTTTCCCTTTGAATTAAAGTGAATAATAATAAAGAAAAAAGAAATAGGGCTAATAAATTAATGCTAGTTTTAGCACAGCAGTTCAGAAGAAGCTGACCCACACTTTTAAAGTTCTCTTCACAACTAATATGAAGGCACCTTTTAAGGGATAATTTCAAACTGGCCCTACTCCGCATTGCTGGCTATAGGACACACTGAAGTGCGACTTCATTTTTTTGAAGCCTCTGTTTTGAAGTGTATAGCCTGGCAATTTCACAGCTTGTTCTCCCTTTCAGGGGAGCTATGGTTAAAAATAGCATTTTTCAGGTTAAAATACAGCTATCTATCATGAAGTGATTGTCATCATTGCATTTTTCCCCCCTCCAGAGCATTTGCGAGTAACTTGCTATCTTTCCACTCTAATGTGCTTTGAGATTCATAGCTGGAAGAGGTGGCAGAATCGGCAACTACTACTCGAGTTAGTAAATCCACATTGTGACCACAATTTCATTTTAGGCACAAATATTCCTTTTATCAAATCAATACTTGGAGTTTATAATTCGCTTTCCAACTGCCTAGTGCTTTCTGAGTTTGCCTGAGCTTCACAGTGCCCCTGACAGTATAAAAAATACAGAAGAGAGAGGGCAGGAGAAATCAGTTGTCACAGGCTGTGGCTCTCTCCACTTGCACAGCTGCTTGTCTGCTGTGCACAGGTATTTACAGAAGCCTCGTCCACGCTCTTACCACTGTTTCTTCCAGGTTTTGCTCTGAAGAGTAAGAACAAACTCAAGATTCTCCCTTTTCTTCAGCCACCCCGCGAAGCAGCTGATTCATTATACCCACTCATGTTGTGTTGGAGCTTGAGGGCCTTCTCAAGGTCTCTCTTGTGCACTTGGCACTGTGAAAGGCTTAAAGAGCACTTCTGCCCCCAAAGAACTCACACGCTAAAATTATATGGAGATGCAACAGGTAACTTAAGTGTATTGGGGAAAGACAGATGAACTAGAAGACTCAGTTTGTTCAGTACTGCTTAGATACTCAAGAAAGTAGGGACTTGGGCTTTACTTGAATTCCTCACTCACATCAGCATTAGGATTCCTCTAAGGTATCAGGCTCCAAAGACTTCATAGCACTTAAATACCGTTAAGGACCTGGGCTCTGTCAAACAGATCTTCAAAATAGCCCCACTGCTATCAAGGACAATCCTTTGTCACAGTGTTCCTGGTTCTAGTACTTCAATTGCATCTGCCTTGTATTCTGCTGCCAAAATTGGAAGGCGCTCTCCGCAGCGCCTTTTGTTTCGTTTTTGCCATTTTACCCTTTTCTCCCTTTTTCTTCCTGGTCCTGTCCAGGTGGTCTTTCAGCATGATGCGCACTTGCCGTTCATTCTGCATGTCTCTGATGAAAGAATGCTTAAGCAAAGTTTCAGTGGACGGACGATGCAAGTAATTTTTTACCAGGCAGCTTTCAACAAAGTTTAGGAATTTCTTTGACCTGAAAGAGATGGAAGAGTGGAGGAAGACAACAATAATCCTTTTCAACTTATGTGCCAAGCACTACCCCTGACTGACAGAAAGCACTAACTTTGCAAGGTTTCCTTCTGCACTGGAGCTCAGTGAGACAAATTGAGTTTTGCCACCAGTTTGTATCCTGCGACCAGCACACCGCCGAGGATGAGTGATGGGCGATGCCACCCCAACCACCCTCTCAGTGAGTTACCTGAACTTATATCCAAATCAGCAAAACCACAATCTGGCCAACACAAGTCTTTCAAAACGCCCTGACCCTTCTGATACGGTGAAGATTTTATTCATGCTCTTAATTTAAAAGACAAATTAATTTTCTGCAGGCCACAGTGACTGCCACTAGCCCCACCATTTCCATGCAGTCTCTTCACAAAGCCCTGATCCCAAGCAGCCCATCATCCAGCCTTGCCTGAACTGCAATCTCAGCCCCGCCGTGCCAAACTTCAGCAGTTGCAACAACTGCCACAGTTTGGGCCAAGTTTGAAACAAAGGTGTTGCTTCTCAAAGGCAAACCACATCTGCACCTGTGGCTTAACCTGCACAAGAAACAGCCTAGGAAAGAGCTCAGAGATCGTTGTAGGATTTAACAAGATCATTGTCTCTGGACAGAAGAGCTCAAAATCCTCCCTAGCCCAATGCAGCAAAAAATACAACTTTTACATGTCTCTTTACCATTTTCTGGATTTCAACTTTGGGGGCGGGTTCCGTGGGATGAGGAACAGTGCTCTCATGGGGTGCATGTCACACAGGGCTGCAAAGGAAACCACAGCTATTGAAGGGTGCATGTCTCCCCACCGCCACATCCCCTCCCACGGCCTGACCGCGCTGACCCAGCCGGGAGCAGTCCTCCACAAACACTCCCACTTCCAACAGCACAGCATCCGCCACAGAACCACACTGTTAGTCAACAAAATTCACACTACAGCCAAGAAATAAAGTCTCCGAGTATATAGAAATCTTTCACAACAATATGCTGTTATTGCAGTTAAAAGAGATTTGAAAGAAAGATTGCATGGCAGGAACAAGTACAACTTTCTTCATATTTTTTATGTATAGGCTTCAAGAAGGACATAAAAAAACCCTCACGTTTCATACACCAAAAGGTGGTTTTGCATAAATATTAGTTAAAGTTGGAATTGAAATACTTTTCTTGTCTATTATGTCTGGCTCATGGTTCAGATAAGCTAAGTTTTAACTTAACTCTTAGCTACATCACTCATGGTATAAGAGAAAATGCAGGATGAAGAAAACTGGATGCAAAGCAGAGAGCTCATAAAGTGCATCACTGGCACAGAGCGTAATGACTAAGCACACATTTCATCTATTCTGTGTTTTGGGAGTGTGAGCACTGTTATTAGGCAACCTGCACAGATTCATGCCTTCAGAGGCTGGTTTCTCTCCAGTGCAACATCCTTCTCTTCAGTGTCACTGTTGTGGAAAGCTGAAGCCACAAAGAACTCTGCAGAAAGTAAACACCATCACAGCTCATCTATCCCAGGCATTTTGTATGGAATTATGAGTGTGCTCCATGTGTCACGGAGTAGTACCGAGGGTCAGAGGTCTTCCCTCACAAAATAGAGCTAGTGAATGATGACTGATAGGAACCCTATGGAGGCTGATTTCTTATGATACACAGGTGTTGAGCCGTGGTTCTCGTAACAGGAATGGAATTACAGCATTACAGAACTAGCAGAAGTGAGGAGACTCTGGTCTGCTAAAGCCTTTGCTGCCTTCTATTAATTTCTCTGCCTGCATCCACCTGACATCATTTCTCACATCTAGGTTCTGGTTTTGACTGTTTTTCCTTCATATTTTCAGTAACACGTGACACAGCGAAGAAGCAGTCTGGTTTCTAGCTACGGGTCCCAAACACTATTATACTACAGTAAACAAAACAAAACTCAACAGAATATAATCAACAGCATTTCTCTGCCAAAACTACTGAAAACACTGAATACAAGTGACAGGAGGAATCACCAAACAAAGCTACAAAGTCTCTCTCAAAGAAAACTCCCCACGGACTCATGTTTCAGGACTAAGCTTCAGCTAGGCTTAAGCACAGTATCTGAAAGTGCTCCTGAGCTCCAGCGGGCTCCTGAGCGCAGCTGACAACCAAGTCTGATGGGAGAACAGCCAAGTGTGTTTTTTTTAAAAACACAGCCTACGTGCTCTCAAGCTCAGGCCAGAATATAATTTATTTCACCTCCGGTGCTCTCAGCAGTGACCCGATACCCCATCACACCCCATATGCTTCACAGGCTAAGCAACTGGTTCTTGGTGGAAACAAAAACGTAGCAGGTCTTTGCATCCCCTGACCTGGAGGAGAACCAGGGGGCAAGGGGCAGAGCCGCCGCCGAGGGCAGGCTGTGAAACCACGGCCATCTGCTGCCAGGCTGAGAATGTGGGCATTCATAAAGCCATTATGTGAGCAAATACAGCATTCCAAAACCTGTGAGAATCAAGTCAGTCCCAGGGTAAAACTATAACCTTTAGGCCTAGCTTCTCCCATTACTATGTATTTTTTTTAGAGACCTAAATGCAAGGCCATTCACATCAATTTTTTCTGCTAATGTGTCAATCATTTCTATTTAGCCGTACGGAGAGGCAGTGGTTAAAGCAATGCTAACAAGAGGTCTATGAAAAAAAAAAGTTGCTTCCCTAGGAAATGAAGACAGGGAATCAAAATACAGGCTTAAGGGGTCTTAAAAGGAAGAGGAAAGCAAAGGAGCCAAATGAGAAAAAGTCATAGATCATTTTTAAAGATACAGCCAGAACCAGAATTTTGTACATCTGTGCATTATCCAAGCATGAGTTATTTTAACACAGAACATGTTCACAAGGCACAGACACTCCCACCTTTATATCAAATCACTTACGAGGAGCTCCCTCGGCCATTTCAATAGCAGTGATTCCCAGAGACCATAGGTCACTCTGCAGGAAAAGAAACATTGCATATTGCAACTTGCAGCATTCGAGCTTTTTTGGTTGTGTTTGTTTGGTTCTTTGTTTGTTTGTTTGTTTTGGTGTTGTTTTCTTTTGCATTTGTCTTTTCGGGTTTTGTTTTTACAGTTTCCCTAGACTTCTTCTGGATTAGGTCATTTTAGCTGGAGTGAGTTACATTCTGCTCCCTCCCATTCCCTCCTGAGCTTTTAGGAAATGTGATAATAGCCAGAAGCTTCCCATTTCCCATGCAACTCTGAACAGCTGATTCATCATTTAAGCAGCCAGCCCCAAAATGCAGACCTCCTGCATTCAAAAAAAACAAGAGCCAGAATATAGCAGGCACTGTTTTAAATATATTTCTTAAATCTTTTAAACTGCTCTCATGAGGCAGTGACACAGCAGTGCCTCACCCCCCTGGCTCCAGGCCAAAAAAAAAAAATCTTGGTCTTAATTCTTATTTCAGAGCAGTCATTGGTGAGTTTTTACAATGACGGAACAGAAATTATAGTCAGGCCTTAGAGTCTGCCTTTTTCTGCCTACAAAGTCTCCAGTCACATGCTTTTGGGCACAGGAAAGGAGAGCACACCGTGCTGCCAGTGACTGTTCGGCCCAGGTAGCTTTGAGCCGAGTTTCCTTTATCAGCTCCTCTGGTTGCTAAGAGCAAGGTTTTGATCGCGGAAGGTCAATCAGAAGCACTACCAGTGACGGTAAAAACTTCAAACGTTTCCGCTTGATTAGTCATGTGCATGATTTTACTATTTTTTGTGTCTATGTGCAGCCAAATGAGATGCATGTGGCCAAACCAGCTTGCAAGGCTTCTCCAGAACTATCTTTTAAAATGGGAGCAATAAAAGACAAAATCTTCAAAGATGAGAAGCAATAAACCATTACATCTGTAGCAGCTCATACCCAGCCTAGCACTCTAACTAAAAGTGACTTTTACAGAGAACCTTCTCAGCCCAGCTGAAAACCAGTTCACAACACAGTTTGCGGAGAGATTTGACGTCGAAAGAGCACCTGAACCAAGAGACTGACCAGAGGGTCACTCACAAGATGGAAAACATCCTGTATGGTAAGTGCTGACAGACAAATGACAACACTGCTGGAAACAGGCCAGAGGACAAAGAATGACCTTTCAAAGTCTCTCTGGAAGAGCACCAGTGTATTCTAAGAGTCAGGAGGAGAATCAGAAAAAGTGCTTGATAGCTGTTCTTGCGCTCCTGAGCCCAAGTAAGTCATGGAGATAGTTGAGTGGGTGCGGTGAAGGGACCCAAAGACGTTTAAGGGATTGGGGTTAGGAGGCTCTGGGCTCAGAGATGGAACCATTGAGCCTGGCGGAGGGAAGGCTCAGGGGGATCTCGCACACGTGTACAAATTCCTGACGGGAGGGCAGTAAAGAAGACCAAGCCAGACTTCCAAGTGGTGCCCAGTGACAGGACAAGAGGCAAGAGGCACAAACTGAAATACAAGAAATTCTGTGCCTTCTCACCTCAGCTACACTGCAAATCACAGAAATCATTCTGGGATGGGAAATCTGCAGTCGTGAGTGAAATTGTACTAACTATTGTCAATTAACTCAGGATTCGCAGCTGAGTACAGAGGAAAACAGCTCTATCTGAGAGCATTAACTTGCCATATTAGTATTACACTACTACAAGTATTCCTTCCAAATTTACTTGCTTCTTTTCTATCCTGACCTGCAACCTCCATATATCAGGGGTTTTTTTGGCACAGAAGTTCACAAGAGTCTATTTCATGTATTAACAACTGACAGAAAAATATTCATAATGAAATTCCACTCTTTTTAAGAGACAACACCCACCTATTACAACTATTTCCATTTGTACAGTTACAATATTATTGTGGTTTAAAAGCAGGGAAGTTTGGACTTCACTGCAACACTTACTCTGTAATCATACGTAGAGTCTGGGTTCTCCTCGCAAGCGATGACCTCAGGCGCCATCCAGTACGGTGTGCCAATAAATGTGTTTCTTCTCCCAATAGTCCTATCGAGTTGAGCACTTACGCCAAAGTCCACTGAAAAGCCAAGAAGAGGTAAAGAAATTAATAAAGAATTGCATCCATGTGGTAGTGTTTGCTTGGTTGCTTTTGTATTGTTTAGAATGCCAAACCTTTGGGCTACACTGCATTTCAAATCTGAGTTCCTCCAGTATATCTGGTCCAATAGTTGAAATTTAACTGCCTTTTTTCTTTTTCTCCTTTTAACAGAAGGATCAAATATACAGCATGCTTAATCTGCCAGGCAGGTTACAGCAGAGATGAATTGCTCTACGAAGACATTACAGAATAATTTATGCTAAATCTAAACGTTGTATTGAGTAGGACTCAAGATCTTTAAATACTATCAGAAAGGAAAAATGGTATCTACGGTCAAGACAAATTTGGATGTGTCCAATATGGCAATTTGTAAAAGCTGGAAGGAACTATCGTATCACTTCATTTTGAGATGTTTGGAGTAAGTCCTTTCCTACATTTCTACAGTATCTCAGAACAAGCTGGAGAGTGCACTAGTTTATTTTGATCTTTCACTGTGTGGTGCTCTTTGTGCTGAAAAGAGTGTTACTTTCATCAGGATTGTACAGCAACATGGCTTTGGTGAGATGTGAAGAAGGGCTCATACAACCAATTATGTGATTGTATTTTCCTTTGAGCAAACCTCTAAGATGCACTAATTGGATCCACTGGGCATAGCACTGGAGTGCTATTCACAGAGAAGACAAATTAACAAGGAAAAGAAAGGCCTGAAAGGAGACACCCTACGGTTACCATCCAGGAGTGGATTTTCTCGCTTACGTTACCACACATCGTAGATCATCTGCAAACCATGATCATTTGTACTACTGTAATGTAATGTGCCTGTTTAGCAAATCCTCCTCAACAGTAAGTTGGACTCGACCTTTCGGATCATCACGCACTCTGGGCTTCTGATGGAAATACGCTCACCTACACTAAAGTGGAACAGATCTGGACTGAGGACCTCTTAGGTTTCTAGCTTCTTTAAGACACATAAGTTAAATCTCTCTGGAAACAACTTTTTTTAAAAGTAAAAAAAAAAGTTGGATGTAGTACATCTGTTTCACCTTTACCCAGAGTTAGAAAGGTTTATTTTTTGTGACAACCATGTGAAGAATGGTGTGGCTAGGAACTATACAAGACTATAAAAAACACACATGAACCTCCTCATCTTGCCAGTTTTAAGAGAGAACAGTTGAAACTAGTACGTATCTTTCAGAGACTGCAAGCAAAATGCTGCCTTCGTGTAATAAAACAGCAAAACTCCCTTTGACTTCAGTGAAGCCAAGATTTCACCACGAGGTGAAATCCTAACAAGCTTTAAAGTACTTATTTTTACTTGCTCCAGTCAACATCCTACTCCACATCCACAGGCCATGTTTATTATTTTTGTTCTCCAACTCTGCAATGAATTCTTTCAGTTAAAGAGAGAGGGAGCATAAAGATCATCCCAAGTAAGAGAAGTGCTCTCCTTGAGATTGCTCCTTTAAATCACTGCTGTGGATTCTCTGTGATATCTTCCCAAAACATGAAAGACATCCCTTCTTCAAGAGAAACATGTACTTGCGTTTAGTCTTAGGAAGTCAGAAGTTGTGAACGCTGATGTGTCACAGCTAGAACAGGAAATAAGTAAACTCTCCAACGTTTTTGAGAGATGACTATTAGTAGGAGGTACTCTTCAGTAGTAGCCCTTACACATGGGTGGGTAATTTCACCTATTGTCAGATTTATGAAAATCTCTAAGATCACTTCCCTCAGACAAATGGATTACCACAATTTATTCTCCCAAATTTTGTATTTTGTAAGTGTTTCCATGCCACGATCTGCTGGCAAGGCCTGATGGTGCTGTGACTTATTAGACAGGTTCTGTGTTTGACTGTATTTCCCACAGGCTGTGAGTGACATCCCTGCAGAACATGTCACAGTTGCAGCTCTTTCTACATGACACGACACTTATAAACATGAGCATTAATACTGCTTGACATACTTCTTGCTCTTATGTTACAGAAGGTTCTTTCGAAGACAAGATGGAAATCCTGATTTTTTGCAAACACCTTTCTAGCCCACATTTAAGCAAACTTACCCAGTTTTACTTCTGCATTTTCTGTGAGAAGAACATTCTGTCCTTTAATATCTCGATGGATGACATGGTGAGCATGAAGATGTGCCAAACCCTGAAAGAAAACCAGACCATTCTTATTCTTTCTTCCTATCATTATCATGAGTATGGCGCTGTTGCCTTTTAACATTCTTATCCTTCTCAGATTTTATTCATAGGGAAAGTCCTTTAGATGTTACAAGCAACATGAAGACCCCAGTTTCAGGGAGGAGAGAGGACAGCAACCACAGGTTTGATTGTCGTCTTTACCCACAGGCCTGTCAGGAGCATCTCTGAAGTCAAGTATGAAGAGAACAAGGTAGCGGTAGCTTAAACTTCAGTCTCAGAATCAAAGGATGCCTCCTTATCCTATTTGTTAAAAGTACACAAAAGAGGGAAATAGCAATGCAGAATGCTCCACATGAGGACCAGAGACAGCAGCTGGCTGACCACAGGGACCTAAATTCTGCATTTGGCAAAACCAAATGTGTTCAGGGGCAAAAGAATCACAGAAAGTTCAAAATACCATGCCAGACCTCTTTTTGATGGCAGCAAATTTGCTTTCATTCAGCTAATATTTGCAATATTCTGTCTACTCCTTCATTCCAAAATCTCCCATGGTTAAACTAGCATAGATATAAAGGAACATACTGAAATAACACATTATAGTGGACACTTCACTCAAAATGCTTAGCTTCTGTAATATTAATGACTTCAAAGAGCTTCCACCCAGTTTCCAAATTTTCCAGAAGGAAGCATTGTCAATTCATGTCCAATCGGATCATCCTGCTTTGAAACAAGATTGACCAAGTCCAATTCCTTGTTTTATAGCAGCATGCTGTTATGGTTTTCAGTTGCATGACTGTAACTGTTTTAATATCAATTGCTTCAACGGAGATATTACAGAAGAGCAACCTTACCAAACCATTATGATTTATTTTTTTTTGCAGAACAGCTTTCCTCATGCTCTTCAGATATAGTTATTACAATCTGCAGTATAATGCCAAATCCTTGTAAGATGACCAATGTCCTCTACTGAGCACAACTCTCAACTCTTCTGCTCCAGAAGCAAAGATTTACCCCCATTCAAGTGTTGCTTTGGCATGCCATTTGAATTCCGGCTCCCGAATACACATTTATCCTACCATTATTTAGAAAAAGAAATAAAACTCTATTACGAGGAAGGCAGATCGGTAACTCTGTACTGGGTTTTGAATTTAGAATGACACTTTCTAACATTACCCTTTTTTTTTTTCCCCAGGCTAGTTCACTAGATTACATTTGGGAATTGATTTATCCTCTGTACTTTCCAGGAACAAAAAAATTAAACCAAACCAAGCCCTAAGCCTGCATAGGATGAAATACAGTCCCAGGAATTATCTTGGGGAATACTGTCCCAGCAGGGCCACCTTTAAGAGTCTGAAATGCTGTTTAGTCAACATTGCTTCTATAATTGCAGAAAAGAGGCCTCTGAGTACACGTAGGTAAAGGAATTAGGAGCAGAAAGACCTTACACAGCATGAACAGCTGAAGCAGTGAGCAGCAAGATCTCTTGATGGAGAGGACAGACTTACTTAAACCAGAAAACCTATTTACTTTTATAGATGCTCAGAATCTGGACTTTCAGAAGATGGCTATTTGCCATAGGAAAGCAGAATTTTCTGTTCTTCATAGAGAAAACGATATTAAATGCAATAATATGGGATGTAAAGCAGCCATCATGCTGGCTCTTTAGGCTCTTCTGAACTCAATGCCCGCAGCCCATGAGCCCCATGGATCAAAACCTTTAAACAGTAATGCTCATTGGCGACCTCTGTTAGTGACCAAAGGCTTAGAATTGTCTTTTTGTTGCAAACGAGCAACAAAGCTCTGTTGGCACCACTCACCCTGAGAACCTCTCTGCAGATGTAGGCAATCCAATCCTCCTTGAAACAGTTCCCTTTTGTCTTCTTTACCAGGTCAGTGACGGAGCCCGCACCGCAGTACTCCATCACCAACTGCAGGAAGACCAACGCAATACACCTTTACCATGGGGCTGAGAGGGAGCCAGCAGAGATACCATGGGCAAACACCCACCCCACCACAATCAAGGTGTAGGCAAACTACACACAACCTTCCCAGATGCCAAGTGACATAAAATCTTATTTCCTGAATCACCACACATTGTTGAATAAATAAAAAACCTCAGTAGGGCTCCTCTGGGTACTACTTTTTATTGTTGGGTTTTTTTTTTTTTTTAGAAATTACAAAATCAGGAAAACATGAGCTAAGAACACTGGAAAATATGGGCATTTTCCCAGAATTTGACATTTCTCATTTTATTGCAAAGCTTCAAAAATCTTGAAGCCAAAATTTGGAGGATTGATTTTTCTTCTTTGCTTTCTTGCCAATTCCTCTGTTCCCTTCCTTATTTTCTAACTGAATGAGAGGAAAGCAACAAAAAAAAAAGCAGACAAGGGGAAGAGGACAAGTTCTTTTTCACTTTCATTATAAAAAATAAAATTTCAGAAACATTTAGTTTGTGGGGAAAAAAAGCTCAAACAACAAATCAGAATGACAGCACAAGTCACAAGTATCATACTTTATGCCCATCCTCAAAGGAAATCATAGGGGCTGGAAGACGTCTAGAGAGGAGCAATTTTTCTCTGTTACATGTTATTCTTCAGAACAATGACTTCAGAGTTTCCCTGAGACAGAGTCTCAAGCCAAGTATTCTGGAGCTGTAAATCTGATGAACAGAAATGACACTAAACACTTACCCAGAGCTGATCATCCTGGCCTGCAGGACTTTTCTTTACAAATGCACCATAATACGTGGCAATATTCCGGTGATGGGAGTACTTCTTAAGCATATTTATCTCCAGCTTGATCTCCTCCTCTTCATTCTGTAGCAAAAGAGAGCAGAAGGCTCCTTAGGTGACCAGAGATTACCAAGTTCTAGGGGCAACCTGGTTGCAGGGCAACCTCCATTTCTGGAGACTTTCAACACTCAGCTGGAATCAGACCTGAGCAACCTGGTTTGATCTCACAGCTGACCCAGCTTGGATCAGGAGGGTAGAACCTTCTGAGGCTCCCTGAAACCTGAGTTATCCTGTGATTACGGGACTGCGTCTGAAGAACAGGTTCTTAAACCCATGACCGAATCACCCCAACCCTTCCACCTTACAATGAATCGCTAGGGTTTGACTTAAAGAACCAAAAATGTCCCTATTTGCGTACAACTCCCCTGGGTGTCCTCAGGGAGCTTAGACAGGACCTGTTACTGCCCTGTTTGTGGTTTCTGTACGCAGTAATTTAGTCTTGGAAAAATTAACCAGATTCAAACAAAAATAAAAATATTCCTAACACTCCATTACTTAAATACTTGGAAATGCACTTTGTGCACACATCAGCCAATTTGTCTGCCCAGTCCTGTGGAGGGTCTTTGCTGGGAGGAAATCAAAGGCAAGAAGGAGGCAGCTCGCCACAAATCAAACTCCAGAGCCAGCGCAGGGTTAGGATCTGCTCCTTCCTTACAGTGGTGAGGCTAGACCATGGAGCTTTTCTCCATAACAACACACCATCAGTTACGTCCCTGGTGTGCTGGGGGCTAGCACACCCTTCGACATCTCCTTCCAGGCACTACCTAGCTCTGTTTTCCCCCTGTCTTCGTTCAGTCTCTTCAGGGCAAGCAGGTCACTTTAGTGGCGGACCTGGCATTGCTAAGATAATGGTTGGACTGGAAGATCTTTAAGGTCTTTTCCAACCTAAACGATTCTATGACTCTCTTCTGCCCAGTAGAGCACCGTGCACAATAAGAAAACTAAAAGAAACACAAGGTGTAGTAATTATATTAGAAGGAAATACCCTTTTTCAGGGAGAACTGCCTGATCTGAGGAGGTCCTCTCAGAGCTAGCCTGCGTGCTTTGGTGCCACCAAAAGAAATGACGCACAATATCCAGTGAAACACACGCAGATTTCGCTGACTCGATTGCTTTAGTAGGAAATGAGTGGTGATGCAAGGTATCCTTGTATCAGTTAAAAGGAATATGACAAATTTGAAAATTAATCTACCTTGACACAAAACTTCCTGGTCAGCACTTACCAGCTGAAGGGAGGGGAAAAAAAAAAAAAAAAAGAGAGATAGCAATGAAGAGCTCAGACCCACAGGACATTTTTCTGCACTTTTCTACTATTTTCCAGGAGCTTTGCCATCAAAGCTTTCCTTTAACCATCACAACAGACTGCTTACAAAACCAGCTGCGTCTCCTTTCTACCTGTAGCGAAACCTGAAAGCCTGACAGGTTGAAACCAAATTCCCTCAAGCACACGCATACGATGCATCTTATTAAACCCGACCACACAAAAATCATTCCCAATAGAACAGAAGGGACCAGTAAGTTTTCCCCAGTAACATCAATCCACAGGAGTCACATTACTAAACCAAAGCTGAATTGTCCTGAGCTTTAGGAAACAGGAAATGTAAAATAACTCCACTTGAAGCAAAACAAGCTATTTCATATTTCAGAACATCCCCTTTATCAAACACAAGCTGCACACATTACACTAGATAGTTCACTTCTCCTTGATTGCATGCAAAAGATAAGGAGGACCCTTAATCCTCAGCTTGATATAGCCCTGAATGTTGTATGACTTAATTAGGGAGGGTAAGGAGGAGCCTGGAGCAGCACCTGGAGCCTCCAAGAGAGATTAGAGCTGACTCCCAGACCGCAGGCAGGAAATCCTCCACGAGCAAGGTCCTATTTCTCTCTGCACATGGCCAGGACATGATCAAAGGGAGGGGAGAGCTTGTGCTGATGCTTTCTGGGATGCTCTGCTCCCTTTGGGACTCCAGGATAGTGCACATGAAAGGGTGGAAACAGGCAGGTGGAGAGAAGGAGGCAGGAAATAAAGATGTGGGAACCACCATCCTGGAGCTGACCACAAGGTCCTCTCACCGACAGGAGTTCCTGGTTAATGAATCTTTAGGGAGCAAGGGCAGAAAGCAGGACCAGCAGTGAGGACTCCTTTCCCTGCTGTCCCTCCTGCCCACTCCTTCTGCTCGGGCAACCAAACATGTGGAAGGGCAACATTAATCTTTGGTAACGGCCTTCCCCAAATTACTTAGAGATCTCTTCAGATCTTAAGGTGTCAGAGCGTTTGAAGTCTTCCCATCTGCATGAACTTCGCACTGGTGAAGCCTGACTGGAAAGTTTCCCTTCTGTGCCCTCAGTACCATCCTGCAGCTGCCACAAAGTTCCCCTCAGGGAGCTGGCAGATATCAACCACTTCTTCAGAGCTGTTGCCCCTTTTTCAGCTCTTCTTCCTTTGCCCAATTAAACTGCGGGTTGTTGGAACCGTCCTGGCACAGCTCTTATCTATGTACTTTCCATTCCTATGCAATCTTGCCTCAATGTTTTAAAATCACAAAAAAGCATGTGCCTGTCTGTGAACACAGCTGGAACACCAGGCTCTTCCATGCTCACTAGGAAGAGCTGCACACGTGTAACACTCCTTTTCCATCAGCAGTTCCTGATTTATCTTGTGACCTTCTCTATTTACCCAGAAGGCTGGAACTTGCTCCTTTCCCTGCATCTGCCTCTTCTTCCCTTGCCCATCCTTGCCCATTGAGGCAGCCACCTGTGCTGGCACCCTGCGCCCGTGCAGGGTGAGTGCCTGGGGAAGTGTCATGGGTTTGGGTCTGGTGGGTTTTTTTGTGAAAGCGGGAGTGTGTGAAACTTTGAGAGCCTCCCCAACCTCCAGGTAGGAGTGGGACTTGCCTCTGGCCAGGGCCAGACCTATCAGCACCTCTGCCACCAAGGTATTGAAGAGGTGATGCCATTGTTCTTTTTCTCTCTTTTGGTCTTGTTTCGAGCTGTCCTCCTTTAATGCTGGGGAGTTGTTCTGCTGGAGGAGAAGGAAGTGAAAGGAGAGTCACCCTGAGAAGAAAGAGAGGGAGAGGAGTTGCAGAGGAGAAGGAGAGGGAGAAGGCTGCCGGAGCAGGACCTTTCCCTGAAGCCCGTGGTGGCTGAGATGGCAGGAAGGTGATTGCCTGCCAGTTGGAGAACTGATGGCGGCGAGAACGTCCAGGATGCGTTGGTACATGCAGAGCCCCGTGTGAGAGGGGAGAGAGACGGAGCATCAGCGGAGGACTTGCCCAAAGCAATCCGTGGCCCCAATGGACTCAGGAGGAGGAAGCGGATTGCCTCCTGTGAGGTGGACGCCACGCTTCAGGAATGAGAGACTGTGAGGAGCCCTCTTTCTCAAGGAGGAGCTGCCATGGACAATCAGTAATGGCCAGATGGACTGCACCCACCACCCCCTGCCCCCTCTGCTCTGATGAGGAGGAGGAGGAGGTAGCCGGGAAGATGGGGGAGTGAAGTATATTTAAGATTGGGTCATATTTATTGATGTATTCCTTTCACTATCCTATTTCGTAAATGTTGGTGGTGAATTACATCTATGTTTTTCTCCTCAAGTCACTCTAGTTCTTTACCTGTCATCTTAAATGGTAGATTATTACTCTCTCTCTCCTTAATGTCAAACCCTTGAGCCTTTTTAGTTGAACTGTCTCCCTCCACATCACTGCGGAAATGGGGCTGGGGGAAGGAGTGAACTGGAGACTGTGCGTTTTTTTGGCCCAGTCGGCTTGAACCACGACAGGAAGACTCTGCTTAGTATGGCCAGGGGGCTGCCCTGCTGAGCCCCACCGCTGCCGAGCACAAAGCCTCTGAGACAAACCCTCGCATTCTCCAAAGACAGAGACATGACTTCAAATATCAGTCAGTCTGTAAGGTGAAGAGCTACCACAGGACAGCAGGTGAACATTTAACAGACAAAAAAAGCAGTTTGTCTTTTCAGTGCTTGACTGAGTTTTTGAAAAATTACTCTATTTCACAAAGAGAAACCAAGGCAGAAGGGTAAATGGGAGCAATTCTCTCCCATGGGCCATGTCTGAGGCCCAGCCAAGAACTGAATTGGGACTTGCTAAGTCTCAGTGCTATGTACGTCCTTCAAGTCAGGGAAAAAAAGCATCCTCAACTTTTCAGTGCATGCACATGCTCAGGATTTCCACCTTCCACCACACCTCTTGTCAGTGTTACCATCAGCCACATCTCCCAGGGGTCTAGAAACCTGCTCATAAACCATGCTGCTTAAGAAAAGGAAATGAGCTTGCAGATGTGCAGGTGCAAAAAGTTGTTTGTTTTCACAGATGAATGCGTTTCGGGGCACAGATGGCTGCATGCACAAAGATGACAGGTTCATGATCAAAGGCTCTTTCTGAAGATGTGGGCCTATCTGCAGTGGCATTATGAAGCAGAGAACTAGAAAGCACACACCTCTGACCTCAAATTGAAACAAGATCATCACCTGATAAATACTCCACCAAGAGACTCGTTAGTACTAGGGCAGTTCTAATGACGAGTTTCTCCTTTAAATGTTATTTTGCGATCTGGAAAGACTGAAAGCAAGGTCAGACAGAGAGTGACCTGCTGCAGAAGAGCTCCTCGATCATCTCCACCGCTACCTGAGGGGAAAAGCAGCAAGAATCCAGTCTCTGCAAGCACTCTGCCAGCTTGGCACTCTCAGATCACAGGAAGCAGAGCCTGCTTGGAGAGGCACGAGTGCACATTGCCATCAGCTCCCCTTCAACCTTGTCAAAGGGCTCCCCCACCCATAACACAACACAGAAGCGCTTCCTGACAGATGTCCAGAGGACCCTGCAGTGACCACAGCATCCTGCTGCTGCTCTCGAGAAACCAGCCTGGGGCTGCAGCTCCTGCCAGCAAAGGGCAGATTTGCTCAGCTCTTGGTGGTTCTCAGATCTTAGAGCTGAACAATCACAGCTGACCTGGTCAGGGAATTTCTAGTGAAACGATTTCTTGCAGGAAAACCCATTCCCCCACATTTGTTGAAACAGAATATTTTGGCACTGGTTATGATGAAATCTTGGCTGAAAAACATCTTAGGTTGGATTGTCGAGTGATGAAAACATGATGCTGAGGGAGAGAAACCCACTGCAGAAAACTGAAGTAGCAAGAAGTAGCTCAGATCCCCAAGATACGAGATATCTTTTTTTAATCTTATTCTTCCCCAAGTCAGATGACTGGTTTGGTTAGTGACCAAACCACCACCAGCCTACACCAGCACAGGGCTCTGTCAAACTCAGCCACTGGAACTGCCCCACTTTGAATGACAGAGATCTATTGGAGGCTTGAACTGGGGAGTCCTTTAAGCAGCTATGCAAATCAATGAAGCGAGTCCACGCATTCAGCAATTCTGCACTTTTTTGGAGATAGGTGAAGAGCAAAAGACTGTATTTGTCTTGATTTTTTTTTAACCTCCCCGGTTCCTACCACATGAAATTTTCACTCTCTGAGAAAACTGTTCCCTGTGCAGCACTAATCAGATCATACAATCACCTGAAGAATGAAATGGCCACAGGGGCTGGGAGCTTCCTGTCTTGCCCAAGCAGGTTTACTATGACAGCTTCCATTTCTCACAAGCCAAACTCCATGTGAAACGTTGCTCTCAGGTACAATTTATAGGCAGGACATTGGAGACAAGGATTTCAATATATTAAAGACTTTATTTAATGCCTCAAGCTAGCTTTTCAAGACCAAAGGATCAGAAAATAACTTAAACCTTAGCAGATTAACAATGCCAGAGAAATACTGAATCCTCGACAGGCTCTGAATGTATGACACTGAAATTCTGAAGATTGGAAGGATTTCTACATTACAGTTGAGACCCACTGCTGCTGTGCAAGGCTTCAGTAACCAAATGTTATGAAGCACAGAAAAGCAATTGCTATTTTACAGAAGAACTGAGCTTCAGAGTTGCCCTGGACATGTATGGCATCAGCCTCAGCCATACCCATGCTCCTACCTACTGCAGTCATCGGCTTCAGCCACCCCATCTACTCTGCACTGCAAGAGACCAGCACAACAGTTCCTGGCCAGACAGATCGCTTCCAGAGGCCAGCAGTCGACCCCTTTCTTGCAGCCACGTAGCTCACCCTTAAAAGCTCTGGGACTGTGCACTGAGGTGCCTGAAGGGTTTGGGACCGCAGCTGCCAACCCCACCCTGCCACTGAACTGAAAGCAACTGGGGTTTACCGTAACACACTGAGCTGTGAGATGCTGTAGCTGAGGAGAGGACAACCCCAGTGCAGAGCAGACAGCTGCAGGAGGAACCGGGCAGCTACCGGCAGAAATTGCCCGAATTGTTCCTGCACTGGTCTCCCAGCACCTTATGGAGGCACCAGCGGGGGCTTGGAGGAAACCAGTGATAAAGCAGAGGACTGCATCCAACCTGTGCCCCGGCAGTGGGAACACGGTCAACCCTGCCTTAAGAAATTGGAAATAACAGCAGCAAGTCTCTCACTCACCCTGCACCCAGTTCAGAAAGCAGAAACACTCGAGTACAGCTGACCTGGTGTTCAGGGTTCAGTGGGGAAAGAGCATCAGGGAAAACCCCTCCAAGTGGCTGCACCAACACTTTCACCACCCAGCTCTCAAGCCATCACAACTGCTTTTGCATTCAGTGACTCAACACGAAAGCAGCACGACCTGCTATCACTGCCCCTCAAGCAATGGGACAGGCTCCCCAGTATGACACTGGCTCCCTAGTCTGAAAGGAAGCAGCAAATCAGACCCAAACAGCTGGGTTTTTTTCATAGAATCATGTAAGTCTATCAGCTTGAATTCCTGAAGCTAGACCACAAGGTTGTCCTCCATTTAAAATTTGTTTCCAAGGAAGTAGGCATTACTGGATGCTACAGTTTGCTGCTTACATACAAAGGAGAGTATATTATGTATAGGAAAGGGAAGGAAATCTTCCCAAGGTTCCCTTCCTGCAGTTTTTGCTTCAATTGTTTCATCAAGGAAGTGACTGTCATTGGTGTTAACACGACAGCCAACAAGTGACATCTTTGGCCAGCCCTCATGCACTGCTGATTGACCCAGCAAAGCATGGGAGCCATCCACGCAGAAGCTCTGGATTATCTCTAAGTCCCTGCCAGGATCTGTCCTGCCAGCTCCTCTGTCAAAGCACAGACATGCTCCGATCTCAGGAATCTGTCTGCTACCCAAACGCTGTCCCCACTCCCTTCTAAAATACAGCAGCCTCACATGTGGTAACTGACATTTTTTAAAGCCAATGCACCTGATGATATACATACCAATAGAGTGAAAAGCAAAAATCTCACCGATATAACATAGCACTTATTTAAAAAATGCACCTTCTGTACACAGAGAAGAGCAAAATGGCAATTGGACTACGTACGCATGATCTGCGAGGTTACAGCCATGACCAAACCAGCCTTCAGACACTCTTTGTAAAAGCAATACATCAGCATCTAAATTCATAAACACAATTCAGACCCCTTGCTGCCTAGGGCCGGACAGAGAACTATCCTGGACCTGCTCTGTCACAAGGCCCACGCAGACAACTTGTTCTGCTGTCTTCTGAGACAAAAGACACATGAAAACCCAGGCAAGGCTTGCTTCTGCTTGCTCAGAACACCGCGTGTTCTGGCAGACTTGGCCCACAGGACTCAGCCTTGTGTTTTTATTTCAGGCAATAACCCTTCCACAATATTGCAAGAGTCCTCTAACTTTCCTGCGGAGTTTTGTACTCCATGCCTGTGCTGCCAGAGTGACAGAACAGGGAGCTGGCCTTCAGTAAAGCCTAGGTGCATCCCACCAAGCCACAGACCTCCAGAGAAGAGGAAGCAGGGAGTCTCCCCGATCCTTGTGGGCCTCACACTACTGCAATTTCAAGGAGGCAAGCTGCTTCACAGAATCACAGAATGTTCGAGGTTGGAAGGGACCTCAAAAGATTCTCTAGTCCAGCCCCCCTGCCAGAGCAGGATCACCCAGAGCAGGTCACACAGGAACGTGTCCAGGCGGGTTCTGAATGTCTCCAGAGAAGGAGACTCCACAACCTCCCTGCGCAGCCTGTGCCAGGGCTCTGTCACCCTCACAGTGAAAAAGTTTTTCCTAATATTTTTGTGGAACCTCCTATGTTCCGGCTTGAACCCATTGCCCCTTGTCCTGTCATTGGATGTCGCTGAAAAGAGCCTGGCTCCGTCCTCCTGACACTCCCCCTTGATGTATTTATAAACATTTATGAGGTCACCCCTCAGCCTCCTCTTCTCCAAGCTAAAGAGACCCAGCTCCTTCAACCTCAGCTTCGCTACTGGCTTCTCTCTTAAAAGGAGAAACAAAAATCAATACTTATGCAACGTGTTCGGCACCCTGTTCCAGCACTGACACCGCTTTACAAATGTGAGGAGGGACAGTGCCAGTTAAACTGTCTCCTTCTCTCATCTGTCAAATAACAATAAAAAAGCGCTACATTTGCATTTCTAACGTGTTCCTGCTTGCTAGCTGTCAGGGGAGCTGCTCTGAGGAATGGCTGGCACGCGAAGGGAGAGGATGTGATGAAACACAGCACGGCCAGCACAGAGCTGCAGGAAATCTTTTACTGGCTATCTCTGGAACCAGCTAATCAACTAGAAATAAGCAGGAAGAGTGTACTGCTCTTTGTTATTATAGACCAGCAAAATATGTGGCAATGCATTCCCTTATCACTCTGTCACCATTGGTCAGGTACAACTGAAAAATCTGGTTGTATTAACACCTCTTAGTGCTTTAGAAAACACAAACTGCTGCTCAGCAACCATCATTTATACCACTGGACCATCTTTTGTAAGCTATCCACCTTCTCATGATCTGACTATTTATTTTTCCTTCCACGATAACAACTGCTTTATTTTTTGGGTTCGCACTCACCTCAGTAACATTCATCACCTTGATTGCCGCTAGCTGGCCGGTCTTAACATGGCGACCCTGTGAAAATAACACAAGATCGTAAGTAAAACATGTAAGCAAACTATGTACGTAATAACAAATAAGGCATAATAACAAACGGTCTTGGGTACTTTCAATTATGCATCAATAACCTTTAGCAGAAGACAAGCAGCAACAATACTTGATACTGAGACTGACAACATATGGTTCACAAGAACATGTATGACAAATGCAACCAGACATCTTGTTGTAAATTGAATTTTATTGGCTTGGTTAGATCAAGTTGCTCAACAGATGCTGCAGATACATTGTTTTGCCATGATAATCAACACTAAACTCATGCTAGAGGATAGTATCAAAAGGTTTGTATGAACAGCGGATTGGCTACACATCGTAACTCCTCGCTTCCATCAAATGTTCAGAAACGGGTTTGAAGCCTTGAAACTGCAATTTGTTCCTGAAATAGTGCCTGCAAAGCTGTCTATCAAAATAATGAACTGACATCAGTTAAGTAAGCCATAGGAAATCAGGGAATCAAATACAAAATGCTGCAGGTTGCAGACAAAATGATTTGCAGGTGCAATTTATACCTGCAAAATTAAAAGCTAGGCTGATGTCATTTTAAATCCCAGGCGCTATCTGCACAAAATTGCATACGAGTGTTATTTCTAGGACTAAGCAATTTTGCATCAGAGAAAAATGATTCCTCGTTTGCAGGCAATACGTCACAGTCCTGTTTTCTTTTACAGAAAAATAAATCCTGTCGAGTTTTTGTGTATTTGTAAGCGTCCTCTTCCCCTGGAAGCACTCCTGGGATCACAAAGCTATTCCTCATAAACCAATATAATAAATATATTATTACAGACTTCAGGAGGAAGAGATGGGACACACCCTCACCAGGCGCACGACACACACCCCAGGGTCGCCAAGAGAAGATGGGCAGTGGCCAGTGCTGGCCTGACTGCCACTGTATTTGGTCAGCATTCATCCCAGCTGACGTCAAACCCAGTTAGAGCTTCCTCTGCACAGCCACAGCTCCTTTGTTGGAGGCCATTGTCTGCAAATGTTTCCAGGCATTCAATGTCCTGGCAATACAGCAAGAGAGGGCCTTCCATAAAATACGGTCATGCTAGACATGCTGGCACCCTGACTTAACTCTAAAGTTTGTCTGGAGTCAAGAACACTGATAATTCCATGTCTCTGGCCACCACACAGAGCAGGCAACCAACCCATTGAGTCTCTCCTGGGCTGCTGTACATTTTGCAAAGGATGATTTCAAGAATCAATGCTGATTTTCACAGCTACAGCAAAGCACGAAGATGTGCTTCTTTACCGAAAAAATATATATGAATCAACACTAGGCTAGCATTGCACTTTTTACTGAATATTCATCAGAATAAGGAAGGGGAAAGGTCTGGCATTCAGTTTTGATTTCAAAGCACGATACCAGGTCAAACTGTTCCTCTCTATAACAGACATCTGTTATTTTGCAACTACAATTATTTCCACTCCAAGCAAACCTGCTGGTCTCCCTCACTTTTACCATTAGAAATGAGAATACTGAATCCCCCCAAAAAGGCTGGGGAAGTTAGCATTTATGGGAAAGAAAACAATAAGCTCTGATGTTTTGCAAGTCACGAAACGCCTTTGCACAACAAGTGTGTCCCTGTTAACAGATAGGCACAACTCGATCCTGCTCCTGCATTCCATTTCTGCAACTATTTGCTGAGAGGAGCTTGGTCTGTGCAGAGAGAGCAGCATCAAGCTCTGTGACTGGTCTCCATGCCGGATCTTCCTCACACTGTGTAGAGTTACTACTAGCCTGAGGGAAACACATCCAATCATCCCTTTGCACAGGTCATCTGCAATAAATAATCTCTGACCAGGTAAAGCAGCCTTTATATGGAAGTAAATTCTGTTAACTACCTGTACTCACACCCTTACATATTTTTTGATCCCTTTATCCTGCAACAAAATGCAAAGTGGTTCAATCCATTCAAGAATCCAAACCGTTCTCAAGGAGCCAAAAGAAACAGAGCAGTAAAAACTCATTCCTGTTGGTTTGCTCTCAACTCACAACAGTTTATTTTCAATAACTATCACACCTTTTGAAAAGAATCTTCCACATTTCTTTGTTGCATTAAGCTGAGGAATTTCATCTTCCCCCAGTTAACCTCGTGCAAAGGTGTAAACATATGTATAGGTTTACATCTGCCTTTCATCAATCATCTAAAAGAGATGAAATAGTTAAAAGTGTGTATATGTAAAGAAGTCTCTTGGAGATTGTAGCTAAATATGTATCTACAGTTATGCATCTATACAAAAACATTTTCATCGTGAGATACTAATTTCACTGCTATCTCGGCAGATTTATTTTTGATTACAGTTGTCCATTTTCCCAAAGTATAGGATTCACGGTTATGGCAGAGAAATACATCTCAAAATTCTCTGTACCTACTAATGTATGCAACAACGTGGCAAAATTACACAGCAGACAATCATTTCTCCTTACCTGACAACATCCCAACATATGCAAATAAAACCTTTCCTTTAACTACGGCAAAAGGAAAAAGTTCAGTCAGTGGAGACAAGATAATCAAAGAACCCTAGAGACATCCTAAATTTTATTTCTTCTCCTCCTCAGAACTTTAGTGTGTCCTATTGCAAGACTTCACTCTACAAAGGCTGAAGCTTTCAGGACATGTGTGGAGAAGAACCATACATGCCTGCACAGCTTCTGTGAGCCAGGTAACATGCTCCATGTTACGCTTCCCTTAATGCCCAGACGATGACTGTGCTGGCAGTTCAGAACAAAAATCACTGGTTTCTCTCCTTTGGGTTGCTTTTTTTTTTAAAAAAAAACTGTTTCGAGTTCATTTTCCTTGACATCTGTAAAAGCAGTAAACATCCTGAACCCAGCCCTGGGCTTCTTGTTAACTCACTGAGCCTAGTGCCTAAGTGAGGAAAGGTTTCAGGGCCTAGCCCCTTATTTTTTTCATTTATCAATAAATCTCAGAGGTTAGCCAGAGTTCACGGGAACGCACACATTGCTACTTCTGCTGAAGCCACAAGGTTGAGTATGCTTGAATTGTTTTGAGAAAGGTGGTGGCTTGATTTTTGTTTAAAGCTTGTAGGAGAAACTGGTTGTTTTAACTGTTTCCCAACCAAATGAGACCAACAGACTCACTCGCTTCCAGAGATACGCAGAAGTTCATCCTTTTTGCTTTAATCCAAAACAGGAGGAAGAACAAGGGGCATTGCCCTCCCAGCCTTCTGTGCCCATCCTCTGCAGATCACCAATGGAAGTCAGCCCCACGTCATTGAAGATCCCCCGCTGCAAATTTCCTCTTAAACTGGGCAGAGGGAAGGAATGTTTTCTGGGCCTGTTTCCCTAATAAAAGGTTTCATCTTTCACCAAAACACTGTTCGAGAGCAGCCCTGGAGAATGCAGCCAAACCATCCACCAGCCATCTGCAAGTCACCCATATTTCTACCCAAAAATATAGCATTAAATGCTATCAAGCTCACACAGAGCTTACACATGAGCAATTATGAAGCTCAATGACTTTCTAAAATTGAAGTTCCTGCCTACATTTCAATGAGGTATCCAAGCTGGAAGAAAATCTCCCATTAGCTTTGAGTCCAGCTAAATTCCTTGTCTCCTCCAGAAAATACTTCCACATGAAGTCTGTGGCAGTTGCCAGTTAGTCACTACAGCAAACTTGGAGCCAGCAGACTCATTTTTCAAATCTGCACACTGCTCATTGCAGCCACATTTGTGGAAGATGCTTTATGCCAAAGATATGGTTGATATGAGCTCCAACCGCGCACCATCTCTGCAGGGCGATACACATGGAATAGGACCGAACGCTCAGTGTTATTTCTCTTGGATGTATATTTACCTTTTTAGCTCAGTTAGATAAAGGAAACACTTATCTATAGGGTCATGACACATATTTTTGTATTTACATCAAACAAGAGTATCAGCATTAGGGTCAAGCTATTAGCTGATAAAGGAGCTTTACATGAACAAAGTATATTTACAAAATGATGCATTCAGTCACGTAAAACACCTTTTCCTGCCAGTTCCAAATAGAAACTTGAGGCAGCCTCCAGCCTGTGCCACCACTACAACCAGAGCCCGAGGGTCCCAGCGAAGCAGGTCACACACAGAGAGCTCGATTTGGTGGCTTCCCTCCCTGATCCTGCACAGACCTCTCTTCCTAAGGGTGGCAAACAGCTCCTGTCAGCTTTTCTCCCTGCTCACAGGCTGGAAGCAGACAATCGCGAGTCCAGCCGCCACAGCCCAGCTGTCCCGTTGCAGCGCTGAGCACGACGCCAAGGCAGCCCACGGCAGTCCCACCACACGCTTCCTTTTTGGCAACAAGTGCTCATTAATGTGTTTCTGGGTCGGTCTGCTGTAGCTGTCCCCATTTAACCGCATCAGGAAAAAAGTGCACGTGAAGGGCAGGGACTGCCTGCTGCAGGATACCCAGGCAGCACGAAGCCAGTGGTTCTGACTAGGCAAAAGCCCCATCTGTCCACGTCCTGTCTGCAAGCAGAAGCACAATCTCGCATTCCTCCCCTCTAAAAAGCAGCATTTTTCAGCGAGGCCCCTATGCACCGAGATACCTCCCAGATGCCAGAAGCCTTGGGCACTTGCCCATTTGCACCTTTGTGCCCAGGCAGAGGGCAATTTCACATCAGGCAGGTACCTGTGCAGAGCACTTATGCCATGCATAGACACGAACAGCTGGCAGCATCTGCACGAGGCTGTCAGACACCCTGGTGACCCTTCACAGCACTGTCTGCCCACCTATATCATCTTGAGAGCTGGTAGATACCACAAACCTAACTCTCAGGACCTGCTCTGGATTTTGAAGGTTCATATCTGAAAGCAAGATCTGGCTGTTGGAGGCAGAGGATTTTGGAAGCCAGAGGACGTTCTCACCCAGAAGCATTTTTATGGGATAATGGATGGGGACTGCGAGGTGAAGGCACAGCTGCTTCGCTGCAAGCTCTTACTGAAAGTGAACTTC